ATTTGATTTGTGAATATGTTATGGTCATATTTAACTTCTTTTGACTTCTAATTGCACCCATCGCCCGTCTTATCTTTAGATTATTTACAACTTGGTCCCTAAACTTTCACTTTCTTCCGTTTTGGTCCTTTTTCGCTCTTTTCTTTTAAATTTCACATTTTCTACCAAAATGCAACCTGAATCAAAGTATAAGTGTAATGAGTGCATTTTGGTGTCAAATAATCACACCAATATAATAATTAAGAGGGGAAAAATATTATGCCCCCATTTGTGAGAAACTGAAAGTGAAAAGTTTGTTTTTGGTCACTGAAAGGTTTTAGGGAGATCTCAATTAGGTCAATAGTCTTTAATTTTTTTAATTGGGTCCTTAAACTTCAATTTAATCTAAATTTATGACTATCACCTATCATTCTCCAAATTAACGAAAATTACTTAGTAGACAGTTGTACCGTAGCTAATTTTCCATGTAATCGCAATGTGCAATCTAGATTATGAAAATGGTAAATGAAGATCATGCAATGTCTATAGATTAAACTTTTTAAATAATAATAATTTTATGTTTGGTACAATATAGTCAATTGACATGAAACGTAGCAATTACACGGAAAGTTTATTGTCATATGGTTATCGATTATATAATTTTTGTCAATTTAAGAAACGATAGGTGATTGAATGGAATTTTTGAAACTAAAATTGGAGTTAAGTAAGTAACTCAATAGAAATAAATTAAAAAATATTAATTAAGATTTTTCTAAAAGTATAATGATCATAGATCAAATTTACGCGGCCGAAAAAAGAATAAATAAAAAAAACCTTTTCAAGCGTAATGCTACTTAAGAGATAAATTAGTACTACTTTGAGGGATATGGGATCCAGATTTATTTAGTCCTTGTTTGGTGTATATTTAATCAAAATTTTTTAAAATTTTTAATAAAAGTTGATGAAATATATGGTTTAAAAAATTGTAATTCCTATAAAATATGTTATTAAAATTAATTGTTAAATTTGACTTAAAACTTTAATATTTTTAAATATAACTAAACAAGACTTAGTTCTCGTTTGAGCCCTATTTTATCCCAAAAAAAAAAAAAAAAAAAAAAAAAAAATTCAAAACTCAATTTCAAGTTTTCAACCACATTCTTCAATAAAAATCGAAATATTTTGTTATTTTTTAACCAAGCATTCTTCAAAAAATACTATTTCAAAAAATATACATATATATTTTGTTCCCCAAAACAGGGTTTAATTTTACCAAAAAAAAATGTTACGACTTACACATTAAGCGGGAGTTTTTTTAGGCCCTTATTATTATTATTATTATTATTATTATTATTATTATTATTATTATTATTATTATTATTATTGGCTTTCCCATTTTACGTTGGAAACAAGTATTGAACTAAGACGATAGGGAAATGATGACAGAAGGCATAACATTTTAAAATTAAAAATACTATAGTTCAGTTTTTTATTATTTTTTTAACCAATTCCGTTCACTATGATAGGTCGTTGATACTTCGATTAGTCATCTTTTCTCTCTCTTTTCCCCTCAAATTAGTCATCTTTGACAAAGGGAAATGCAACGTAACGAGTTAAATATTATAAAAAATAATTAAAATGTTGTTGATTATAATGTCTTATCTCAACTAACAATACATATCAATTTGGTAGATCACAAAATATTGGACACGAGAAACTTGGACTGACACAAAAATTCATATTACTCTCCATTTACTCTCAACATATAAAGACTAATGATACTAAGTACATGCCTGGCAAAGCTTAAATATTTAAAATCAATATACTTTTTATTCATTCATTCCGTGAGACTTGCTACCAACAAATTATTTACGCTTACAGCTTCTAAAAAATTTGAAAGCACTTCTAAAAAAATTTGAAAGCACTATTAAACAAGCTTTAATAAATATCCGGTAAATACATCAACATAATCAATCCAGTAGGGCCAGAGGAAAAATGTGTAAATAACCTATGACGATGGAGCGAGGAAATACATAAAAATCGAATCCGTTGGGCCAACACTTACACTAAGAGACGAAAGCTATGGAAGCGTTTGTGATTAGATGTTTTTAAAATTATGTCCAAGCACCAACCATAGAGAACAGATCTGAAAGGAAAAATAACAGTTAAAAGCCTTGAACCTCTCGACCTTTAAAATGTCACAATTTCCAATTTGTTTGAAATTTCTGAAGGGGAAGTAAAACCAATGGCAAAATTAATTCCTTTTACACAAACAGTATATAGAATAAATGATAATGGAAATCACAAGTCAATTGCATAAAATTAGAGTACATTGGCAGCTTAACTTCCAAAGTAAATTCATAAAAATACCAATTTACATGAATAAATACTGTGAAGTTGCCAAATCCAATGAGTTCCTTCGTAGCTTCATCTAGGAATTTAGTTCTCCACTGAATTATTTAGCCCAAGATGAGAGAAGATTGTTATGGAGGTAAAAGAGGGGCATTCTCTGTCCAGTCTAGGACTTAAAACTGTGTGCCAAGTTGTTTCCAAAAGTAGTTGAACCAAATAAGAAAACTAAATTTTCGACTAGAATATTTTGTGCCACTACTTTCAATATTTTGACCATAATTTTCTCTATCGATGTCCGATTAAGGCAATTTAAAGTACATTGGAAAGGTAACACAAATTGATACAATTTTTCTAGAATTAGCTTTTTTCAAATTCTGACGTTTACAAGGTCAAAAGTGGAATTCAATCTCCAGATGAAAATTTGGAAAATCTTTATGCGTTTGGAATTTGATTTGTGAATATGTTATGGTCATATTTAACTTCTTTTGACTTCTAATTGCACCCATCGCCCGTCTTATCTTTAGATTATTTACAACTTGGTCCCTAAACTTTCACTTTCTTCCGTTTTGGTCCTTTTTCGCTCTTTTCTTTTAAATTTCACATTTTCTACCAAAATGCAACCTGAATCAAAGTATAAGTGTAATGAGTGCATTTTGGTGTCAAATAATCACACCAATATAATAATTAAGAGGGGAAAAATATTATGCCCCCATTTGTGAGAAACTGAAAGTGAAAAGTTTGTTTTTGGTCACTGAAAGGTTTTAGGGAGATCTCAATTAGGTCAATAGTCTTTAATTTTTTTAATTGGGTCCTTAAACTTCAATTTAATCTAAATTTATGACTATCACCTATCATTCTCCAAATTAACGAAAATTACTTAGTAGACAGTTGTACCGTAGCTAATTTTCCATGTAATCGCAATGTGCAATCTAGATTATGAAAATGGTAAATGAAGATCATGCAATGTCTATAGATTAAACTTTTTAAATAATAATAATTTTATGTTTGGTACAATATAGTCAATTGACATGAAACGTAGCAATTACACGGAAAGTTTATTGTCATATGGTTATCGATTATATAATTTTTGTCAATTTAAGAAACGATAGGTGATTGAATGGAATTTTTGAAACTAAAATTGGAGTTAAGTAAGTAACTCAATAGAAATAAATTAAAAAATATTAATTAAGATTTTTCTAAAAGTATAATGATCATAGATCAAATTTACGCGGCCGAAAAAAGAATAAATAAAAAAAACCTTTTCAAGCGTAATGCTACTTAAGAGATAAATTAGTACTACTTTGAGGGATATGGGATCCAGATTTATTTAGTCCTTGTTTGGTGTATATTTAATCAAAATTTTTTAAAATTTTTTAATAAAATTGATGAAAATAATGGTTTAAAAAATTGTAATTCCTATAAAATATGTTATTAAAATTAATTGTTAAATTTGACTTAAAACTTTAATATTTTTAAATATAACTAAACAAGACTTAGTTCTCGTTTGAGCCCTATTTTATCCCAAAAAAAAAAAAAAAAAAAAAATTCAAAACTCAATTTCAAGTTTTCAACCACATTCTTCAATAAAAATCGAAATATTTTGTTATTTTTTAACCAAGCATTCTTCAAAAAATACTATTTCAAAAAATATACATATATATTTTGTTCCCCAAAACAGGGTTTAATTTTACCAAAAAAAAATGTTACGACTTACACATTAAGCGGGAGTTTTTTTAGGCCCTTATTATTATTATTATTATTATTATTATTATTATTGGCTTTCCCATTTTACGTTGGAAACAAGTATTGAACTAAGACGATAGGGAAATGATGACAGAAGGCATAACATTTTAAAATTAAAAATACTATAGTTCAGTTTTTTATTATTTTTTTAACCAATTCCGTTCACTATGATAGGTCGTTGATACTTCGATTAGTCATCTTTTCTCTCTCTTTTCCCCTCAAATTAGTCATCTTTGACAAAGGGAAATGCAACGTAACGAGTTAAATATTATAAAAAATAATTAAAATGTTGTTGATTATAATGTCTTATCTCAACTAACAATACATATCAATTTGGTAGATCACAAAATATTGGACACGAGAAACTTGGACTGACACAAAAATTCATATTACTCTCCATTTACTCTCAACATATAAAGACTAATGATACTAAGTACATGCCTGGCAAAGCTTAAATATTTAAAATCAATATACTTTTTATTCATTCATTCCGTGAGACTTGCTACCAACAAATTATTTACGCTTACAGCTTCTAAAAAATTTGAAAGCACTTCTAAAAAAATTTGAAAGCACTATTAAACAAGCTTTAATAAATATCCGGTAAATACATCAACATAATCAATCCAGTAGGGCCAGAGGAAAAATGTGTAAATAACCTATGACGATGGAGCGAGGAAATACATAAAAATCGAATCCGTTGGGCCAACACTTACACTAAGAGACGAAAGCTATGGAAGCGTTTGTGATTAGATGTTTTTAAAATTATGTCCAAGCACCAACCATAGAGAACAGATCTGAAAGGAAAAATAACAGTTAAAAGCCTTGAACCTCTCGACCTTTAAAATGTCACAATTTCCAATTTGTTTGAAATTTCTGAAGGGGAAGTAAAACCAATGGCAAAATTAATTCCTTTTACACAAACAGTATATAGAATAAATGATAATGGAAATCACAAGTCAATTGCATAAAATTAGAGTACATTGGCAGCTTAACATATCTGCAAATATCAAAATACATAGGGTCCCTCGGTAAGCTCTTCTGTATTGTTTTGCTGGACGTCCATCTCTTTTTTTTTTGTCCCTTTTACAGAAGCTAAAAAGGTAGATTTTACAGTGATAACAAAACATGACAATTGGAATGGAAATAGAGCCAATTTGCCCAACGAAAAACTTCATCCGACCCAGACAATCCCAGCTTTCAAAATTATCTCTCCATCACTTCAACAGAAATACAATGTATCCACCTGCTTCAGCATACAGTTCGACCATAACAAATTGACGCAATGTAGAGATTTTTTTTTTTTTTGTCCCTTTTACAGAAGCTAAAAAGGTAGATTTTACAGTGATAACAAAACATGACAATTGGAATGGAAATAGAGCCAATTTGCCCAACGAAAAACTTCATCCGACCCAGACAATCCCAGCTTTCAAAATTATCTCTCCATCACTTCAACAGAAATACAATGTATCCACCTGCTTCAGCATACAGTTCGACCATAACAAATTGACGCAATGTAGAGATTTTTGGACCACTTCTCCTGCAAATAAAGTAGTTGGTTTATCTATCAGCATTAATTCAAAATTATGGAACTGGGAATCCAGAAGAAATCAAGAGGAAACTAGGAAACAAGATACTAACTAGAAGAAGCATCTCTAACAAAAATTCGATCATTAATTCTCAGTTTTGACATGCACATATATATCAGCTTTAATGTAGTTTACAGGCGAACCAAAAATCTTGTCTGAACAAAAAGGCGATAAATGGAAGTGGGAAATGTCAAGCTATAAAAGCAGCAGCTTTTTCTACAATTGCCTCCCATCACTAATATCTGTATATGAATAAGTATGATAGAAATTACCTTTACATGCGTACTAGGGAAGGCAGATGTGCGAAGAGTCTCTTGAGTCTCATCCATCATTTTACGTCTTGGTATACTCAATATGAAGGCTGCTTGATCAGCAGTAGCAGCCATGGACGTTATTCTGTAGCCACTTTCCCATCGACGATGTATTCCCTCGCTTGGATACAGAAAATCAAGCTCTACAACCTAAAGACGGAGGAGCCTTATAGTGAGTATTGATTATACAAAAAACATGTACATAATTGCTTAGAGCCTAACCGGAATTCTATCGTGCCATTTTATCCTGGGATTTGCATTAAGATTGACTAGAATTCTACTACATAATGAAGTCTTACCTGCTCAGAGTACCCTGAATTTCTAGACATCACAACACCCCAGCGACTGCCAGCTGTAGTCATTGACGTGACATGGAAACCTTCCTTCCATTTTTTATTAATCCACTTGAATGGAAAAGATTCACTAACTTTATATGACTGCTGGGTGTAAGGAGTTCCTGTATTATTGTGGAAAGCACAAAGAAAAAATATATAATCACACAAATAATAAAGAAAACATTACACCAATTGAGAAACACGATTGATCTGCATTCAACACACACTAGCATAGGTAAACCAATGCAAAAGCATCCAACCAGATAATGGTGACACACAAACACACACCCAGACAGAACTTTCAACCAACCTTTAGACATAATAACTAGAGAACTTCCATTAGCTGCACCAGCAATTGAACTGATATAATAGCTTTTTTCCCATTGTTCCATGATCCAATCCTGATAAAAAAAACATAGGATACCATTAGGATAGACATCCTTCCACGGGAAGAACAAGAAGAAATTGAGGTGTTGATTACTAGGAAAAGCAACCTTATGAAGGAAGACAGATGAAAGCTCATACACCTGCGAACTGAAACCCGTCCCGGCATCCATGATTAAAGCCCACAGATTTGCGGCCGATGCCACACAGCTAATATACAAACCATCTTCATTACCCTTCTCCACATGTTGTCGAAGCCTTGAGTCCGCAACATTGTAGTGATATCTGAGAATATTTATAACCAAAAACAGAAAATTAAATTTCTTTTTAACATTAAAAAATGAGACATTCTTTCATTAGTCAAAAGTTATAAACCAAAGTCGCCATCTTGTTTTCAAGATGGGAAATATTCCATTCATTTTCATCCTTATTTTCAAATGCAAATATCCTATGACAACATTAACAAATTTGGACATAAGTGAAGTGAGAAATAGATTTACCAATTCGACTTGAGTTGACTTTAGTCAAGTAGGCTTCCTTTAATAAGGGTATACTTGAAACTTCTCACTTTATTAATTAAAAAAAAAAAGGCCTTTTAACATAAATTAAAATGAGTCACTTTTTATTTCAAAGTCTCATCTTTAATTAGATTGACCAGTCTATAGGTTTAAAACCAGGCAGCTCCAAGGTTTCATGTTTCTTAAGGTTTGGGCGCATGACAAATTTAAAAGTGGTCCACAGGCTCATTAATCAGGAAATGCATCTCTAGAAATAGAAATAATAATCTATAAGCAAAACTATCCTTGTCTTCATTGCTTGTTTTATATGTTTAGAACACTGACTACTAGATGTGAAAAATAAAGTTTGAAATTTGTGGCACATCTAGAAGTTCATGCGCATTACCATAGCAAAACATATATCACATATCCCATGTGCATACAAAGCAAGACAAGTATGTAGAAGCAGCTACTCACCTCTGTTTCATGGGGCGACGTGCATTATATGCTGAAATCCACTGGGTAGCTGGACTACCTAGTCGAACTTTCTTTTTTGGTTGCTCCTCCTCTTCCAAATTAATGAGCAACCTCCCACGCTTTTGACCAACCTGCTTGTGCAATACAATTTTATTTATACAATCTTATGTGTAAATGTTTTTATGTACAGAGCACACCCTATAATATGAATACTACTGTGTATACTATGTATGCTTAACCTTGAGAGCTCCATCAATTCTGATTGGCCTCAGTGATATGCACGGTTCAATAAGACTTTCAAAAAAGGATATCAGCTTAGGATAATTTGGCTCCTCATCGAACTTCATATTTGTAACCGCCTCAAGGAACTGTTTGAATGGAGTTGGGCAAAAGCAACACATCAACTCAGGTGAAGTAGCCATTTTCTTTTTACAGACCAGAAAACTCTTGTTGTCCCCCTGTCATCATCCAAATAAGAATGGTGAAAGGATTGAATAAATTTCCTAAGCTGAGACAAGATACAAACCAGTTATAAACTCAGTGAAATTGACTTACCTGGTATCCTTGCCATGGTAACCTTCCTTTAATGAGAAATATAAGTGTGTAGGCCAGTGACTCGAGATCGTCCCTCCTACTACCTGTACGACCCAAATGTGCATGCACACTTGCATACCTTATTGTGCCCCTGCAGATGTAGTTTATTAGTGTATATTCAACTGCTGCATCAAGTACACAAGTTAATTCCACAAACCTGAATATATCAGGCCTCTGGTCATACTCAACATGCTGACCAGATGATGCATCTTTCCACCTAGATGCTGCATTAACAGTATATTGAGAAAAAAATATTATAATATACAGGCCAATGGGGTAAATGGAAAAACAAGGTAATAAACTGGGGAAAAGAAAATGCGAATTGCAGAAAGGGCAAGCTACAGTGGGAAAATTAAAAACTTCTATGATTAGCTTTTCAACATGCCCAGAAGTTTATAGTTCAAATATGGTAGAGTGATGTGAGAGAGAGCCAGAATAACAGCATCATACCCAAACCAAGATCAATGAGATACAGCTTCTTCTCATCAGCAGTTCCAGGTTGACCGAGTAAAAAGTTCTCTGGCTTCACATCTCCATGCACAAACCTAGATGAGCGATACAGAGATATAATAGTAGTCACTGATTCAAGTGAAAGGTACAATTCGGAAACAGATGAAGAGTTAAGATTCTAGAGATTATGATATCTAGGAAAATCAAGGATATGGTAGAGAAGCTACCCCTTCATGTGAAGCTTTTCAAGAATTGATATAGCCTCCACAGCAATGCAAGCAACCATACTTGGAGACATCCTATTTCAAAAGCCATCATTAAAAATGAAATATATAGCAAAACAAAAACATGATGTGATGGGGATTCCATACAGCTATAAGTGTGTGCACAAATCTGGTGTACTCATAAATGCACGTGCACAAATGTATACACATAAACATGTGACAAGCACACACAGATGCATGCATATATAAAGACAAACGTATGCACATGCATTGACTCCTACAAACAGCGATTGTATGTATGTACACAAGTGTGCGTTGTGTACGCATACAAATATGAGAGAGAGAGAGAGAGAGAGAGAGAGAGAGCTTACGACTGGCCAAGTGAATTCCAAACATCCCAGAGACTGGGTCCAAGCATGTCCATTACCTGAATTAAATATTAATTAGAGACAGCAATGAAAATCCAATGCAAAAGGCAGAAATCAAGACTCACCAGGATGTAAAAATCTCCTTGACGACCCTTGTAGTGAACCCATGGGATCCCATAACATCCGTTCAATGTGCTTTTCAATCAAACAACAAAATAAGACATATATACAGACACCCACGAATTTTAAAATAATAAAGAAATAGATAACCTCCTCAAGTCAGGAAGACAACGTGCTTACTTGTACACCTGCCACTCATATGGAGGTCCATAATTGCAACCTTTACTATTTCGATGCTCAAACTTCAATGCTACCTATAAACGATAATCTTTTGTATCAGATGCAGGAAAAGATAATTGTTCGAAATACCCAAATACCATGGCAATATGCCATACCTCAATTGCATCTGGCCCTGCTCTTTCAGAGCCACCACTGACCCTTCGTCCAACATAAACTTGGCCAAAGCCACCCTTTCCCAACTTCCTTTCTGTCTTATACACAGGAGAATTACCCACTTGTACCTGCACCAACAACATAAAGAGAGTAAGTATAGTAGATTGAATTAAAAAAAATGAAGATATTCCAAAATTTCATTAAGGTCAGTGTCCATCCATCCACGGGTATACTTAAGACATATCCAGAAAGAGAAATATTATAAAGGCGTGGAAAGAATGAGTAACAAGATACCCTCTCAGGCACGGGAGTTGTACTCGCTTCTTCTTCAACTCCCACTATTTTGTCCGCGCTTCCACCTTCCATGGCAATTTCCTTATCTGCAACGCCCTCTATTCTGTTAAAAGCTGGTTCCCCGACCCCAAGGGCAACTGCTTGAGGAAGAACTTCACAAGGCTGTTCCGGGTCTAGATCTATCGGCCGAATTCCTCTGCCTCTACCGGCTGCAGTAGGCCTTGTGGGTGTTACAGCAGAAGGCCCTTTTGCTACAGCCGCTGCATTGCCTCTGCCTCTTCCTCTCCTCCTGGTTCTATTCTGAGTAGGTGCAACAAAATTTTCTTCTTGATTAATGGGTTGAGGGGCAGGCTGGAGATCACCAAGCCGTTTTGATCTCCGTGCTCCGCTACGCAACTCTGGCATCGTCACCCATGCAATTCAAATCCCACTCACTTCAATGCCTTCCATTCAAAATCTTCAATAACCGAAATAAGGAAAAAAGAATACTGAATAACAAAGGACAAGTTGATATTTGAACTAGAGAAGCATAGAAGTCCATTAAAAAAGGTTATTCAAGAATCAAAAACTGGACTATTAGAAACTTAAGCAACCACTGGAAAAACAAAAAAAAACAAAAAACAAAAAAATAAATAAATAAAACTTCAAATTACAAGAACATTGAGCTAATAAAGCTCACAGTTTTACATGGAAGAGAGATTAATTCTCATGATTAATCTTGAAAACTCATGAACTCCCAAAAAGAACAATAGCCGCATTCTAGTAAAGCAATAAATACGTAACATCTACTAATACTATTTTTGAATTCACTAGCTTATGGGTGTATGCACACAGATTCTATATTGTGCGGCTAAAAATCTGAAATTTTCCAACAAGTAACATGAAAATCGGAATGTAGCTTAACCAACACAACCATGAAATCCATAAACAGCGAGGGGAAAGGTAGAAGATAGGGATAGAGACGGATAGGCTGCAGTATCCCAATTTAATCTCAACATGAATCAATTTTTTTCATGACAAGTAAAATTAAAAAAAGAATAAATTTAACGAGATCATTAATTGGAGAAAAAAAAGTAAAGAATCTAATAACATAGAATCATCTCATCATAGGTACTTTAATCAATCATCCGAAGAGCTTCAAAGTTATAATAATCCTTTTAAATTGAATAAAAAAAATAAACACAAAAAATAAAAAAATTGCACAAAAAATGAGTAGCCACAGATCGTACCTGAAAACAGCAAAAACAGAAGGATCGGAGATAAAAACCAGAAAAATCAACTTAAAATTAAACTGGATCAACCGATCAACCACAGATCTCCAAGGAATTCCCTATGACATTTTCCACCTCAAAAAAATAATAAAAATCTTATCTAAAACTTCGGGTTTACAGTTTTTCCGTGACAGATGCTGGAATACGGAGGTGAAGAATTGATAAAGAGCAATGAATATTAGCCCTTTAGGTCAAGTTTTGAAAGAGATTTTATTAAATTATTTATTTATTTATTTTTACGGGATGAGTGGTGCGATATATCGGTGTGTGTTTTCTCCCTCTATGGATGTGTGTTAGTGCATGCGTATTGTACTGGGTCCATTTTTTATTTATTTTTATTTTTTTCTCATTCTTTTTGTTAATATAAAACAAAGCCCTAAATGGCCATATATTTTGTGGCCTCATAAAGTAGATCAATGCACCATTAGGAAACTTCGAACAAATATAAATACAAACACGATACATAGATATGCTAAAAAAAAAATTTCAAGATAGTGATAGTCATAAGCAAGTTAGTTTGAAGCGCGACGAGTGCGAAAGGTTATGTAAATATTCATTTCGATGTTGCAATATTTGTCAATATTATAAAAAAAATTTATTGTGTTATCAAAGTTAATCTATAATTTATTTTTTATTTTTATTTTTTTAACTCATGATCAATGGAAAACTTTAGTAAATTGAGGCATCACTTGTAATGTAAAAGCCCTATTTGAAACTAAGATAGGCTTGGAACCCTATCCTATAACCTATGTCGAATTCATCTCTTTTCCTTTGTACAATTTGTCCTGTTCTTACAATGGGAATATATATCTTTCTTATGTTTCATATCTATACTATCGAATATAAAATTAGAAATTATTATATTTGAAAAAAGGGATAGCTGACATTATTACTTAGTAGATTATTATTTTCCAGTGAAAAATCTTTCTTACTAAAAAGCTAACCTAACGAAATCTAGATTTTTCTTGTACAAGTAGACCTTGGTATAGTTAACACAAAATTGTAACGAAAATTGTTTAAATCTTGTTTTTAGCACCAAACATATATACTTTGTTTAGATTGCTATGTCATGCTAATGCTACATTAATACAAACTACTTTTATATAAATAAAGTAGTTTTATTTTTAAGCATGCCATTTACTTATATTCTTATATTTTACCTATATTCATTCAATTTATAATTGTTGACGCGGTTCGATATTTAAAATGCATTATTTAATATTCTATAGGAACATAATGGTGTGCTCCAAGACTACATATATTTCAATATTTTGTTCCACGTTATGTAGAATCAATGAAACCGCAAGACTACTTCTATTTTGGAGCACATTCCTAAATTGATGAAATCACATCTGGCTTCTAAAGAATGCTTATGCTCAATGCAAAACATATTCCAAAAGCACACTTAAAATCAAACATTACCGATAGAATCTTGGAAAAACACCACTAAATGTAATGAAAAGTATCAACAAAATAATTGTCATATCAACCTTAATTCAATTAAACACATTGATGAGGTTTATGTGGAGGAACAAGTATTGGCATACATGAAACGGTTGGATGGTCGGCTTTCAAAAAAATTGATGTAACTTTTGCATTTGGTGTCCGTTTTGGGCCCATAACCCCATTTCGGAAAGGTAGCGAGCGTTTCGGATTGAACTCACCGTTTCGCCATGACGTACGAGGGTTTTTGGGCATTTGAAGTCGTTTAGTGTGTCAAAACAGCATTTTAAGTTTTTGTGTTATTTATTTTCAGCATTTATTATTTCCATTTTGTAGCCCAGCCCATTTTGGGACTGTTGGCCCAGTAGGTTATCTTTTCTTTCATATTTAAAACGCTGCAAGACGCCTCCTAGGGTTTTCTTGGTTGTTCAAGAAATAATAAAAGTTTGTTTCTAAATTCAATCCGTTTGGTTATTGTTGTCGTGTGTTTGTAGATTCAATCTATATCATTTTGGTATTAGAGCATGGTGCGTGGGAGAGGACGTGGTGGTCGTGGTGGCCGTGGTGGCCAGATTGATTAAGTTGCAGATCTGCGTAATCAAGTTGAGGCGTTGACAATCCGATTTGATCAATTCATGACGTGGGCGGCAGAGGTTGTGCAGAACGGAACACCTCCTACTCCTCCACGTCGTGCCCCAGTGAGTGATGTGGAGGTGGATCTGAATCAGGAGAGAGGTGGGATGAGGAGACCTTGTCAGAGGCACGTGGTGATCGTGTTCAACAGCCTCGTGTGCAACAGCAGGATGCGTTTCAGCGATGGGAATCCGGATTCAAGGTTGATATACCTGAATTTCACGGTGGAATTGAGGCAGATGAATTCCTCAATTGGCTGACGGCAGTAGAGGAGATCTTGGATTACAAAGAAGTGCCCGACAATAAAATGATACCTTTGGTGGCGACCCGTCTGCGTGGTCGTGTTGCTGCGTGGTGGCAGCAACTAAAGCAAAATCGGATCCGTCAGGGTAAGGCGAAAATCCAGTCGTGGGAAAAAATGAAGAAACAGTTGAAGGCAACGTTTCTTCCCTTTAATTATTCCAGGACTTTGTATTAGCGCTACAGAATTTGAGACAAGGCAATCGATCTGTAGATGCTTATTCCACAGAGTTTTACCAACTGATAGCGCGAAATGATGTGGGAGAATCAGAAGACCAGTTGGTAGAACCTACTTTATTGGTAGACTACGATTGAATTTGCAAGATGTCCTAAATATGTTCTCGCCAGTATCTGTTTCTGAGGCTCACCAGCGAGCACTTCAGGCTGAAAATCAACAACGTCGTTCTGTAATAGGCATTTCTGGTGGTCCATCTGGAGGTGGGGGTCGACAATTCGCCCCAAATCCCACATCTGGTCCGTCCCAATCCTTTACATCTGGGGGTCGAGGTGTTGATCGGAAGACTCGGCCAGTGGTTCCTCCAACCGCTAATCCGGGTGGCTGGGCTCCTTCTGGTGGACGAGGGCGTGGAAGTCAGTGTTTTGGTTGTGGTGGTTTTGGTCATTTGAGGAAGGATTGTCCATCTCATGAGCAGCCACGCCCAGGTTTGTTCATTGGAGGGACAACACAAGCCGATGTTAACGATCATGTTCATGTGGAGAATGAAGAAGAAGATGCTGAAATTGTGCATACAGGTGACACGGGGCCTTTTTTGGTGGTTCGACGAGCGTGTCTTACGCCTAAGGGGTCGTCTGAGGACCTGCAGCGAAACAATATCTTTCTGTCTTCGTGTACCATTGGAGGAAAGGTGTGTAGGTTCATCATTGATTCAGGCAGTTGCGAAAATGTGATATCTGAAGCGGTCGTGCAGAAGCTGCAGTTAAGCACCGAACCTCATCCTGCTCACTATAGCCTAGCATGGTTGAGACGAGGTAATGAAATTCGTGTTACTAGCCGTGTGTTGGCATCTTTTTCAATTAGCAGTGTGTATCGTGATAGTGTTTAGTATGATGTGGTGCCGATGGATGCGTGTCATTTGTTGTTAGGTCGTCCATGGCAGTTTGATAGGGATGTGTGCCATGAAGGGCATCGAAATGTATATACATTCACCTTTTCGGGTAAAAAGATTGTACTACTACCCTCCAAAGATACGCAGTGTCTGTCTTCGGCAGGAGACAGTAGTAATCTACTTTCCCGATCTTTGTTTGTGCGTGAGATGTTGGCAGAAGGTGTTGTACTGTTGTTAGTAGGAACTGAGGTGACAGGAGTGTCGACAGTTCCTATGGCAGCCGAGGGGACGGGTCTTCACCCCAAAGCTGCTGCCTTGGTATCTGAGTTTCATGATGAGTTTTCGGATGACCTTCCACAGGGTCTTCCGCCTTTGCGGGATATGCAACATCACATTGATTTGGTACCGGGCGCGTCATTGCCTAATCGCCCACATTATCGAATGAGCCCAGTGGAACATGAGGAGTTGAGAAGACAAGTAGAGGAGTTGGTGCAGAAGGGGTACATCAGAGAGAGCCTCAGCCCGTGTGTAGTCCCCGCACTCCTAGTGCCAAAAAAAGATGGGAGTTATCGGATGTGTATAGATAGCAGGGTCATCAACAAAATAACAGTTCGTTATCGCTTTCCGATACCGAGGCTAGATGACTTGCTTGATCAGTTGGCCGGTGCAACTGTGTTTACCAAACTGGACTTGAAAGTGGTTACCATCAGATAAGAGTCCGCCCTGGTGATGAGTGGAAAACAACATTTAAGACACGGGAGGGATTATTTGAGTGGCTAGTTATGCCGTTTGGACTATCCAATACACCGAGCACGTTCATGCGGGTGATGAACCAAGCACTTCGACCGTTTATTGGTAAGTGCGTGTTCTATACCGATAGTGTTTTGTTTTTGGGGTATGTTGTGTCAGCCGGTGGGGTAATGGTGGATGCAGCTAAGGTTGATGCGATTTGGCAGTGGCCGCGTCCACAGTCAGTTTCTGATGTGCGGAGTTTCCACGATTTAGCATCATTTTATCGACGATTTATTCAGCACTTCAGCACCATCATGTCTCACATTACTGATTGCATGAAGGAGAGTAAGTTTTAGTGGACTCCCGAGGCTGAGAAAGCGTTTTTGATCATTAAGGAGCGCCTGACTTCAGCCCCGATACTTGTGCTGCCTGATTTCACAAAACCTTTTGCATTACATTGTGATGCCTCTAAATTGGGTATCGGAGCTGTCCTCAGTCAGGAAGGAAAACCAGTAGCTTATTTCAGTCAGAAGTTGGCAGGGGCTCGTGGGAGGTATAGCACTTACGACGCAGAGCTTTATGCTGTTGTTCAGGCCATTCGCCTTTGGCGACATTATCTGTTTCAGCGAGAATTTGTCTTATACAGTGATCATGAAGCCCTCAAGCATTTGTCAAGCCAGGAGTCTGTATCTGCCTGTCATGCATCATGGGTTGCTTTTTTGCAACAGTTCAACTTTGTCATTAAACATCAGGCTGGTTCTTCTAATCGTGTGGCAGATGCGCTCAGTCGGCGGCATGGGTTATTAGCGCGGCTACAGGTAGCGATCACCGGGTTTGAGATCTTTGTCTCTCTTTATGCTGATGACCCTTATTTTGGCCCCATCTATCACAGTTTATTGCAGGGACCCCATTCCTCTTTTCTGTTAGAGGATGGGTATGTGTTTAGAGGTGTTCAGTTGTGTATACCAGATTGCAGCCTTTATCTGAAATTGATTGAGGAGTTTCATGGTGAAGGTCATGTTGGGCGAGATCGTACTTTGGCTTTGATTAGCGCTTCATTTTTCTGGCCTACTATGCGTCGTGAAGTGGAGAAATTTGTCTCAC